AATAAATGTAATAAACAAAACAAGATGACAGGCTGATGAACACTAATGTAAGGCTGCAAATAACAGTTCATTTCACTATCTAAAATGTCACAAAATACTGAAACTGTCTCAATGTTTCAAACAAACCCCAGGTGATGTATTCAAATTGCTTGTTTTATCTGACAAACTGAAAAAACTAAAAGAAATTCAGTTTAAAATCACATTAAAATAAACAAAAGACAAATCCCCACATTTGAGAAGTTGTAACAAGTGAATGTTTTGCATTTACAAGTTACAAGTGATGTAACTGATCATCAAAACATTAACCATTAACCATTCCTAATTCAGCTCCTTACTTTGCAGTGAGCTGCAGACAATTCAGAGCAGATTTATATGTAGGGCCCCTTATGAGTCAGTCAAAAGGGGCTTCTGGATTTCCTGTGTCACATTCAATCTCTTCTGGTATAGATTCTTGTTTTCTTTGATGTCCGTTCATAGGTTCAGATGAAAAGAGGTTTACGTTCAATGTTAATTCTTTCATTAACACAGTTACATCACTTTTTTCCTCAAAATCCAAACACATAGATCTCAAATTTGAGTGTACTTATTTTAAGGCGTCAGTATAATTGAAAGAGTTGTTAACTAGTGTCTGAAACCGTTTCGCCATCAAGATTAATGCTCCATCACATGTCCAATCTTAATGCTTTGTTGCTTCAGTTTTGTTTGCAGCCCCAACTCTTTCAGGTCAGGAGAAGAAACGAGGTTCCTGTTTTGCCCCCTTATCTCATATTTACCAAGACAGACAGGAATTGTCTCGGGTGACAGTATCTCTCGTCTGTTTTGATGTTTGACACCGTGTCCTGTCTGTCTTTCAGCACTCTTTCTTCTTATTCAAGACTTCTGATCTCTGAAAACAGAAAGGAATAGTCTCCTGTACTGAACTTGCCCCTTTTCTGTTTTGATGACATCCAAAGAAAGAATGTGGGTGTAAACACTGCTGATATAGTCATATGTGGTTTGAAATTATATGATAGATGATGATTTTAAAATGTCCAAAACCATTTTGTATCTCAATTCCTATTTGCTGCTAGTTACTCCAGAGTCAACAAAACTCAAAAGTCAAACAGCTTCAATTTCATGCAACTTAAGGCTGAAACATGTTTCTCTGGGCAACACATAAAGGACCATGCACAGGTTAATTGGAGATGTTCAAATTTGTTGAAGTGGGGACTTGGAGGGAGAGACATACAGATATGATAGCACATATTCCTGGGGATATCACTGTCACATATTACACAATTATCTTATCTAAATCCAGTTAAAGGTCATAGAAGAGAGACGCTCCTTACACGTTTCTCAGACTTGTCTGAGAAACCTAACATTTTTAAGTTTTCTTCGATGTCAAAACACTCCGGTTATAATTGTCAGTAGATCCTTTGGTACACTGCAAGCAGAAACTGCTAATAGATAATTTTGCAGCAAGTTGTGTCAGTTTTGTCTTGGGGAGGTGCCCAGTGTCAGAAACCCCCCAGATCAACTGTATTTGTCTCTTCTGAGAACCATAAGTTGCACAAAACCTGTCTGTAGAATTTGGAGAATGCTGCACAAAGCAGCTCTAAAGAAATCATTTCCTGCAATTAAGCAATCAACTGTAGAGTAAACAATGTGCTTCCTGTTGACACCAACAGACACATGCCCACTGTATGTGAATGGTCATGATGACAGTAACTAAAGGTTTCTGAGTGTTATGATGCAACCAGCAGAAGTCAGGACAGTAAACTTAAGTTCCCTTCACATCTTCTAAGTGAGTGCATATTTTTTTCTCTGAGACAATGACTAAACTTGAAACATAGAAAAAATAAATATGCTAAAAATGAACACATCAGAGATGCTGAAGAGAATAATCCGATCTTAATTACTTAGTTTATGTCAAATTACCTCTGATTGCTGCGGCCGACAGAGTAAGCTGATTCAAATGAAAGATAGTAGAGAAAGCAGAGGACGAAGAGGAGAAGATAAATTGCTAATGACGGCAATGGCCGAGTTCACTACTCAGTCTCGCCAGGCTCATAAATTGAATTCAGTGCTTTAATGTCTGAAGACTTATATCCCTTGACCTTACGGCTTTCAATGAATTAACTGTCTGCTGTGTTCGTCCAATGCAGTTTGCTGTGTGCTCACAAAAATGCAGAGAAAAGACAAATTCCCAAATCTGAGATGTGAGAAACTGCAGGAAAAAAAAATATCCCAGTCCCCAAAGGAATGTCAGGGAATCTAAATCAGTTTGTGTTCGACTAACCTTTCACCTCCTCTCTCCATCTTTGTGGCAGAAAAATGTTACAAAGGCTAAGAGATTAAATATATTCTCAAGCAAGAGGAACATGTAGTCTATGTTGTGGCTAACTTACCCACCAGATGAACATGCAACGTCTAGTGTGTTAAAGAAACTCCATAATGTCCGGTGGCTATTTCTCACATGTGACAAACCCACATCTCATCATGTGTGATCTCCATGATGCTCTGCAGGCTGCAGTGTAGAGGAGGGTTAGGCTCCGAAAAGCAGTTTCAACTCAATCACATGCACAGCAAAGAGGAAAAGAGAGGATCATGAAAATAAGATCATGAAAATAAGATCATGAAAATAAGACGCAGCCCTAATTGATTGATTGCTTAAGTCATATATCAAGTAAAAATATCAAACATTTGCTGCTTCCTGCTTCTTTGATTTTCCAGCTTTTTCCTGTTTTACACTGGTCTTTAAAACATTTGGGGTTTGGACAATTCAACAGACAAAACAAGATATTTGATGAAATTATCCTGGGATCTGCAAAGTTCTGGACATTTTACTATATTCTAATATTCTTATAACAAATGATTAATGATCAGAAGAGGTTTCTTCCTGTTAAAAGGGAATTTTTTTCCTCTCCACTGTCATCAAGTGCTTGCTCATTATGGGAACTGTTGGGTTTTTCTCTATAATATTGTAAGGTCTTGACCTTACCCTGGAAAGTGCCTTGAGATAATGTATGTTATGATTTGGGTCTATACAAATGAAACTGAACTGAATTAAAAGATAATGAAAAAAGAGGATATATGATAAAGAAAAGCAGCAAATCCTCTCATTTCAGAAGCATTGGCATTTTATATTACAGTTATATTACAGAACTTGCCAATTGTTTTTCTATCAATTGACCAATCAATTAATCAACCTATAGTTTCACTTCTATTTTGGACCATTTGCCAAATAAAATGAGCAATTTGAAGACATCATCTTGGGCTCAGACTTTTTCCTTACATCTTATAGACTGGGTGATTGATTGGTTAACTAAATTAAAAAAAAGTAATCATTAGTTGCAGTCCTAGTCTGAAGTAAAGGTGTTGACATCCTTAGTAAGCTTGGTCACTCTGGTCTGACACATACTGATTGAAGCCAGATGCCCCTGTCCTCTGCACTAACCAAACTCAAACCACCTGTAGCCCCATCTCCGTTAGGAATTTACAGAGATTAAATGCTGCCACTTCAATAACCACATGTGGGCCTCTGAAGCAGGCGAAGGTAGCTCCGATAGCACAACACAGGATCTCCCAGCGTGGTCTTCCACCCCTGTGTAACCCAAATGAGGTCATAGTCCTCCAGGTCAGACTATAGGACTGAACTTAGCTCCAGGAGGAGCGTGAAGGAATGGACATAAGGCAATAACAGAACACTATAGTAGTTCAGTTAAGTAGTCTTATTCACAATCAGCGTAAAGTCGCACAGTCAGAGAGAACATCATTGTTTGATTACCTGCAGCAACCTGACTGGAGGGGGGGGCAGACTGGCAAGTTGTTGTAAACGTGATCTGGATTGTCTTTGGATTGTGGATGGATTGATGACTGTTGTTGAAATCTTAGGCACAAAACAAAGTAAGAGAGAGAGAGGAGAGGGAGAGGAGAGAGAGAGAGAGAGAGAGGAGAGAGAGAGAGAGAGAGAGAGAGCGATAGGAGCGAGAGAGAAGAGAGAGAGAGAGAGACGCGAGAGAGTAGAGGACACGCACACACATTTATCTCCACCTCTAACTCAATTCTCTAATGACCATCACAAGCCAGTATCACATGTAAGCGTAGGAATCTGAGAATTAAAGAGAGACATGCACTGTTTACTTTGCTCTCCTCCTCTTTCTTCTCTCTCTCCCCCCTCCAAACTTAGAGGAGTGGTTTTTCTTGACTTTGCCGGTACTTTCCCTCATGTTTGATCTACTTGGACATGACCTAGAAGTTAATTCACTACTGCTGCTCTGGAGCAAAACCTGAGATCACATCCCATCACCAGAGGGACTCCCCAGTACCAACACAGATATGATCCATTACTAACAGAGCCCCAGCTCCTCTTAAAGCTGCTGTAAAGTCAATATTCATTTCACTTTTCACCTTATAAAAATCTGAATTGAATCACCACTGATGATTTGTGGAACATTCATCCAAATATGACATAATTTCACATGACACAGGCTTTGCAAAGCCTCTGCAGAAACATGGTGAAAATACATGACAGTGCAGAAATTTTTGCACTGTAGCAACACAATTTACTTTTCCAGGATGTCTTGACACTGGTGTGTAAACACTGGCGTGGGCAACGTTCAATTAAGGCGCAATATTTGACTGACTGTAATGTCTCCTATTATATGAGGCAATGCCACGCTGCTGCACGTAGAATCAATTAAGTCCTACTCTGCGGTTTCCTTCAGTCAGAAGAAATAACATCTGGGCAATCTGGACGGAAAGTATTTAGGGGCAGTTTACGAGGACACTGTGGTGCCACCACCTTTTAATGGGCGCGCAGGCAACGTGAGTGACACACCTAATGCATGCTTTTAGTCGCTTTGGTCGTCAATTACGCAGAGCGCGATGATCTCAGCTGCTGGACAACGTGAGCGCAGAGATGCGCTGGAGACCTTGAGAAAAACGCGCTCTCTCCGCCTGTCACTTATTTCATCTGACAATCCGCACAAATGCACCGTTTCTTTCAAGTTATTACTCACCAACAAATGCCACTGTTGTCAAAGTAAAATTCCGACTCATCCCGAGCATCTTGACGCACTGAGGGGGTCACGGAGCTTCAGTTATTCCACGCACTTTGTTCAGAGAAACACAGATCCTCAGAGATCAATTCGCTAAATGACTAACAAGTGTCCACCAGGCATTTCCTCTGCTGCAGCACTGACAGTGTAACAGTCACCCGTTTCAGACTGACTCCACTACTCGGGATGACCTGTGTTCCATTGCGTGTCGTCTCCGTTAAGCTGACACAAACAGGGGGGAGGAGGAGGAGGAGGGTGAGTAGGAGGAGAAGGAGGCGGGTGGCAGAGTAGTAAGTTTGTATTTGAACACAGGACGTCACAGACGAGAATAGTCTCATTTTAACATACAGTATTTAGTCTGTGCCAGCTGATCATTCATTTTACCTGTTTTTCATATACACAGCCTGAACTTAGATTTATGATAATAGTGTCATTTTAATTGCATCATAACTGCACTGCATGATTGCATCAAGAGTATCACAAATCTTGCCAATTTATGGGGGATTTCGTGTGTGAAAGTGAGGCTGTGGCATTTTTTATGTGAGAGAAAACGTTCAACTGAATTCTAGTAAAATTCAGAAACTCAAGTGAATGTTCAGAGTGCAAGTGTGAGTGAAAGCCAGTGGAAATTTAGAGCACATTTGAGGCAAACATCAACATTGTTGGTTTTGCTCTCCCTCTCCGATAAAATTAGTAAAATTGCTCTCATACCCCTTTGGCACTCAACCTCATTTCCCAGGGGTCCACACTCATTTGCCAACTGTGTGTTTGTGTGTTGAAAGTTAGATGGCCACCACTGTATGAAGAAGTCTGAAGTCACCACCTCCTGAAAGAAGTTTTGCATCTGTTCAATTGTGTCATCTCATTTTTCAGACGAGTTATTCAAAACAAATCGTCCAGATCTGCAACTATTTTACAATTTAAAAGAACATTACAATGTGTTATACTTTACTTGTATTTTTTGATCAAGCAATGTGACAAGACTTAAACTGCTATGTAAATAGTGCGTATAGTACTGTAAATGCACACTCATGTCTCACAATGTGATGTCTTTACATAATACACAGTAGGCCTACGGTATATGCACAACAATGATAAAGGTTTCATAAGATCATCTGACCTCTCCATCATTGCTCTGGCATCTTGGAACTGTTGCTGTAAAACACATGAACAACATTGTTCACGCACTGGAGGAAAAAAAAAAAAAAAAAAAAAAAGGAGTGATACATTTGCTCAGCTGCTTGTGTTTGACCAGTAACTCAGTTGCTGTGCTGGACTAAAAAAAGCTACTGATTCAGCTCCTGAAGACTTATATTGTTACAAAAGGTGCTGGTTACAAATAGTCTAAATTAAAATGTGATGAAGCATCATGATTGACAGCTGGGGGAGAAATCATGCTGAGATTATCATGGGATTATTATAGAAAGGGTGGTGGTCAGTATTCATTCAGGGGGCCCAGTTAAACCCCTGATTACAGCCAACTATTGAAGTGCAATGTTACCCTGTAGTGCTAACACAATTATCTCACTTAAAAATGATAACCCTGGGCAATCATTTCACAGTTCTGTCCATAATCCTGTAATAGAGCCAGTCTACTTCGAATCTGTCCAACATCTTCAGACTAACGCTCGTCCATTCTGCTTCATAATCATCTTGAAATCGTTCCCAAGTAGAAATCCTCTGGTGGCAGACTCGAGTCATATCAAGCTACTGGGGAGAAAACAGCCGGCAGCTCCCTCCTCTCGGTAATTACAAGCAGGAAACCACATCATGACACCCTAGAAACCACCAGTATTTACCTTGCAGATTCCCACTGACACCTTAATGACAGCTGGTAATCAATAGCCAATCATTTCAGGACTTGCAAAGTCTATACTAGATCTGCTGCTGCAGCTACAACTTCAACCTTCTATGAGCCAACAGAGGAAAAAATATGCACATCCAGAAAAACTCTTCCACAGGTGCTGGACGTAGCAGGTGATATTTCTTTCTACAATTCATCAATTATTGTCTGTTCTTTCTGGCGTTTTGCCAAACTGTTGCTCCAATTGTTGCATTCCAGTTGTTGTCACCTGTGACCAAAGAACACTTCTGTTTTCTGAATATGTCGCCTTGGACCGTATCCAATGGCTTTTCAGTTAGGTCATGTATTGCCGACTGCCATTGTTGATGAGTCTTGCTTTACCTTTTTGCTTTATATTTTGTTGCTCTATATCTCACAGTTTCCTTCCCTCTGATGTTTATTGGTTACATGCAATGTCAAACAATTGTCACTGAACTGTATCCCTGTGTCACTACACCCACACAAACGCACACACTCATACACACCTGCATGTTTGCCTCCATTTCTTCAATCACTGTGTAGCAGAGCCACTGTTATGCTTCTCCATTTCTGTGTGTAAATATTATGGACCTCTTTCTATACAAAGAACTACAAACATGAAGATCATTTCATCAGCTGGCAAGCAGACTGAGTTATTTACCATACATACAGTATATCCTGTTGTAGCCTGTCTCATGAACATGCATATTATGTGGCAAAAAATAACATGGGGTTACACAACCTTTGCAAACACAACACATGCATGCTTCAGATTTACACAAATAGACGCATCTGTACCAGACAGGATCTGAGGAACTCCCAGTGAATGAAACAGTTTACAGGAGTCCTTCCTGTCTTCAGCCCTGCAGATATCTCTGGCTGAGACTCAGGAAGACTGTGATTAGTTTCCATGCATTTCCTCACTGCACCATACCCTTCCCCACCCACCTCCCCCTTTCCTCATCCTCTTACACGTCTTGGCCCACTCATACACATTTTTCTCATGGTAACAATCTATAGAGAGTGATAGTAATAGCACTCCATGTTTTTATTTCTGACCCCTACACATTTCCCTCCCCTTCCTTTGTCCCCTTTGCCTTTCATCCTGACATACCATATTCCTCTATTAGCTATGAAAGTCTATTCTAATGCATTTTTCTTCTCTCTCCCCCTTTAACTGTCTGTATACATGGAGACAGGAAGAGAGCATTAGGAGCGTACAAGATACAAGCCTCTAAAGGGTCCCTAATGAATCAAAGGCGTCTTCATTCAATTGCACGAATACTTTCTTTGAATAAACTACTCTAAAAACATTTTTCTTCAATCAGTGCAGCTTGTCTGAGCTGCTTTTTGCGATGTGAGGCTCCATGAGGTAATGAAGACAAAATGTAGATCCCAAGGACGGTAAATCCCTTTAAGGGAAGGAAATTAGCTCAGTTCATACAGACTGACAGACAACATTTATTTGCAGACTGAGTCAATCATTGGGTCACGCTAAAGCTAAGCGGAGAAGCCTCTTCCCCCAATGACAACCTTTCCCCTCCAGTGAAAGCTATTTACATTGAGCATCTAAGGAATCTCTAATGTATACAAGAGGATGGTGCTTGTGTGTAAAAGGTAGATGACAGCTCATGGTAAACATATACTATGTATGGTATTCCCTGTTATTGCATTGTGTACTGATTTGATACCTGGAAATTTGGAACTATATTTAACTAATATGACATTTGTTTACCTTTCATAAATGAATCCTTAAAGGGGCGCTCCAGCGATTTACTTCCATAAAGTTGTGGGTTCAAAAGAGACAGATTTAAGATCCAATAATCAACATTATCATATTACCAACAGATCAAACGACTAAATGTAACGTGAGAAGTTTTGCTTGTGATGACAAAACCACAGAGAATTATCACCGAACAGAACATTTAGCGTCTTCCAGGTCACTGTTTTGGGTTTAGGGATGTGTAAATTGGAAGCTGTTTGCTAACGTTTGCCACAACGACTATAAAAGAGGATGTTTATGTTGTGTTTACACAGCTTGTTCTGCTGCCCTCAAGTGGCAAAGAAAATCCATTAGTGCAACTTAAAAGAGAGAGATCAGTCAAAAATGAAGCATGATATAAAGCTCCAAAAACTCTGGATCCCACATTCCCCATAATGCATTCAATAACCTTCTCATTAGACCCTTCCTTTGTCATAAATGTTCATGTCTTTCAGGTTTTCTATTATAAATTTGTAGTCTAGGCTGAGATAACCCTGAGGACATTCATGCTACCAAACAAAACTCCCCCAGGGCCTCCCATGAGTAAACTGACTTTTGTGAGCAAAATTGGTGGAGTGCCCCTTTAAACAACCTTTAAGGGCCAAATTAATGGTGTTTGATGCAGTTCATTCATCTTGCTGACATTTTTCCATTTTCAACCTACTGAGTGGTGAATACTAAATAAAACAGTTGAAATGTGTAGAAACATTCAGCCATTGAAATGTAAAGATACTGAAAGAGGAAGTGTCTTATATTACAACAGTAGTAGAGTACAGCAGTCAGTCTCTGCAGTCAGGAACTGTATTATTAAGTGGACTAATACAGTAGCTTATTGCTATATAAGGACATGTTGGCCTTATACTGTAGAGTGTGACTTAATTTGACATTTGCTTCAGTTTTTTTTTATCTCAAACAAACAGTAAAGGAAATAAATGCGTAAGATAAGACTACTTTTTCTCTTGGTGGTAGCAGCACGGGTTTAAGCATGACTGGGGATGAACTCTGGGGGAAAAAAGAAAGTCCTGTGTCAGCTCAGTGTGAAAGAAAGCAGATCCATCCTCACCGATTCCTCTTTGATGAGAACAGGTTTTGTTTTGAACTCTAACATTAACCAGAGCAAATGGAGCAAATGGAAATCTCTGGAGTCCAACCCCCCCTTCGGTCCTTACTATTTCTTGTTTCTGCTTACTATCCTTTTATTTATCTATTTATTCATTTATATAGATAAATAGATACTTTATTTATCCACTAGGGGAAATTTATGAACCTGGAAATGTTTCTAATAAATGTTTGGACAGTCATCAACAAATAGGGAATGGCTCATTAAAAACAGATGGAAACCAATGTGATAAGTGGATCTTCGCTTTGTTTCCTCTTTGAGGCTCATGGTACACTACCCTTCAAAAAAGTTTTCACCCAAGCCTAACTTGTAAAACTTCAATCTAAAGCTATTTTCTGATGTATGCATGGAGCATGTGAGTATGATTATCACACCATCTTCAAAGTAACCCTCCAAACACCCTCTGGGAAAATGAAAACAACAATCTGACACATGTGGGCAGCAATTAGACGTCTCTTCAGTCTCCTCCCTCCGGGGGCTCTATCTCCCTGCAGCTTCACCTCTCTCTACACA